ATGAAAAAGGTATGTATGGACTTTTCTAACTCTGGGGGATAAGGTGAATAGGCTAAAGTTTCAAAAAGTCGGAGTGTTCCTTTAAGCATAAACCGGTCGACACGGGTAGTTTTTTGCCTCTTACTCGGATTTCGTATTATGTGAACGCATTAGGGCCGTTACATAGTCAACGCGAGCAACGCGAGCAAGCAACGCGAGCGACGCGAGCTACGCGCTCCTTTTCATAGTACACAAGCGTCACCGGCGATGCGTGAAATGCAATACACCGATTGCGCAGCAGGGGGTAGTAGAGTCTAGAGTCAGGTCACGTAATATTCAGATCAAAATGGCAACTGAAGAGGAGTGCATATTGCTGATTTTACATCGGCGGCAACAAAGGATGTATACGAACAAGCTCGCATAACTTTTCCTCTTCGCCCGCCATTGTATTCAAATCTTCTTCTTCTGTAAACATAATAATATACCTTTTTATGTACATTACTTGCAATGTCGCCCCACCGACAACGCATAGTATTGCGTGCATCGGCGCGTCGCGTATCAAAAACTAGGACGACACATTTGGCTACGCATCGACGCATAATGGCGGCCGAAGCGTAGCGATGTGTAGCCTTGCGCACGCGTATGCGTACCGATGCGTTGACTATGTAAGGGCCCTTAACCTGCTTTCTGCTTTTTTTTTCTCTTATCTCGTGCAGCAGAAGTAGAAGTGGTTCAGTCAAAACGCTGCATCTGTAACTGCATGAGAGGATAATATACCAGCTGTAAATTTCCCGCTGACATGTTGCAAGCTTTATTTAACATCAACCGACAAAACAAATGAAATACTCAGAGTCAGATACGCAAATGATTGTTTTGTCGTCACACAGCCTAAGGGTCATGGCCTGATTTATTAATAAAGTCATGTAAACACGGTTTACTTGTGTTGTCATGGTTACTGGTTTGCATGTAAACGGGCTCAATGATAACTGCAAATCCACTTTTCTCTGCCTGGAGTCAAGTTGTTTCTATGAATTGCATCGATCCATTTTCTTCTCTGTTCTGTAGCTTTTGGCAGTCTGTAAAAATATACCTCAGATTTCTTGTGAAATGTAGTTGTACAGTCAATCGCAAAGCTCTTTCCCATTTTAGATGTGTTTTTTGTGTTTTTCACGGCATTCACGCTGAAAACCAATGCTGCCGCTCAGTCTTTCTGCCACTCAGTGTGCGTGACCGCAATCACTCCAGCTGACGGTGACGTCATACGCATTCCCTCTATAAGGAAATTCCGGCCACTCTGACGTCACACACGCCCGTATTCGAAAAAAACTTTCCGAAACTTGTGACAACCCGGAAGGAGTATTTTTAGAACAGAATTACTCCATCAAACTTACAACTTCATTTTTGAAACTTTGTCCATGTTTAGCATGGGAATCCAAATCTTTAAAGGGATACTCCACCAGTTTTTATTATTAAACTATGTTATTCCCTTAACTAAGACGAGTTGATACATACCTCTCTCGTCTCAGTGCGTGCACTATATCGCTCTGTATTGCCGCAAAACTATGTTAGCACTTAGCTTAGCCCATGCATTAAATATGGGCCAAGCAGAGAAGCGACCAAACACTTCCACGTTTTCCCTATGTAAACACAGTTACTCGAGTAGTGTAACTTGACCTGGGCTGGTGACACAAAATAAACCTTTGCGCTTTTCTAAGCGTTTAAAATTGATTACTATATTGTATGGCGGAATACCATAACAATTGCTTTTGAGCACTTCGACTTGGCGCAATAATATCTTCACTCGTGAAAAGTCCTCTTACCGGCTCCCGCTTCCTCTCCCCCTCCCTCTGACATTTCCGTCAATACAACGTGACATGCGCCGGTAGTAGTAGTTCGAGCGGAGTTGACGAAGTAACAGGTTGTTGGAAGCTAGTTTGTGTACAATAATGGTTAAAGCGTGCATCGTAAAGGGTTGTGAAAATAAGGAGAATGTACATAGTGCTGTCATTTTTCACCGAATTCCAACACACCACATACAGCGGAGAGCTTGGTTAGCTGCTTTGAACAAGAATCCCAAAACACCATTGATGACTCTGAAGAAGTGGCGTGTTTGCTCCGAACATTTCACAAAGAAGGACTATACCTGCACAGGAACACGCCTAAAGGATGAGGCTACACCAACAATATTCAGATGACTTACAGAAAGCCCGTGGTCTTTCGCCAGCTCCGGTCTGTTCTGGATCATATCTTTCTTGCCTCTCACGGTCCACAAGAGCTAATTCCTCCTCCGTGTACTCGGGTTCAAACAGATATGGCTCTGGGTCTTCTAAAAGAAGTCATAATCATCTACAAAGTCGGCCATTGCAAATGATCTGCAGTTTGCTAATAGCACAGGTAGTAAAAGTCACGTTGGTAGTATTGACGGAAATGTCAGCAGCTGGATGCTATTGGAGGGAGGGGGAGAGGAAGCGGGAGCCGGTAATCTTTTCACGAGTGAAGATATTATTGCGCCAAGTCGAAGTGCTCAAAAGCACTTGTTATGGTATTCCGCCATACAATATAGTCATCAATTTTAAACGCTTAGAAAAGCGCAACGGTTTATTTTGTGTCACCAGCCCAGGTCAAGTTACACTACTCGAGTAACTGTGTTTACATAGGGAAAACGTGGAAGTGTTTGGTCGCTTCTCTGCTTGGCCCATATTTAATGCATGGGCTAAGCTAAGTGCTAACATAGTTTTGCGGCAATACAGAGGGATATAGTGCACGCACTGAGACGAGAGAGGTATGTATCAACTCGTCTTAGTTAAGGGAATAACATAGTTTAATAAGAAAAACTGGTGGAGTATCCCTTTAACAGTGTAAAAAACTCACTATGCATGAAACAGCATTTCACCCCCCCTTTAAATGTCAAATACAAAAACAGTCACCTGTCGCCACCTACTGGTGTACACATGTATTTGATACCATTTTTATTTACTTTCAAAAGGTGATGTACTCTATTTTGATCAATAACCTCAGTATTGTTGTACATTAACAGGATGCAGTAATAACATAAAGTGTAAAGGACTATATTTAATAAAATTATTAAATGAATGCCGTCTTATTGGGACAATAAACCCCTTCCTACACCAACCCTAACCAATAAACACTTTAATATGAAACAGTCATTAGGCACTTTATTTCCACTTTTCAAATATTTTCTTAATTTTTAATTGAAATTAAATGTCTTTCCGCTCTGATATGTGATGGGAAAAGGAAAAAGAGCGAGTTCGGCAAAAGGCGATCCGAACTCGGGTCGAACACCTCAAAAGCTACATGCAGGTGCCATACTTCCTATCCCTACGCCACTGCAGATGTTAAGTGGACTGTCTTTTAGCCAACAAGAAAGGTTATTTACACTTAGAGCCACTTCGTCATAAAAAAAAAAAAAAAAAAAAGGTCTTCCCCTCGCTTGGGCCCCAAATGCGCATTGGCCCCTGGCCCCGTGCCCATAATGCCCATTGGATAATCCGGTTCAGACTCTCAGTGGTGGCTCGCTCCCATCCCCTCGAACTCCACTGGGACTCCCACATCGATGGATGGTACAGCCGCTTGCACACCTGGTCAAACGGGCTTCCCTCAGGCTCTGCTGTTGTAGAAAGTACACAAACACAAAGATGAAGATGAAAGGCAGTCTTTAATAAATTCACACGTATAAGTAGGCACTGGCAGCACAAAGAGAGCAGCATTAAAACACATCAAGATACAGACGAGACAAGACAGCAATGAACAGAAACAGGAACTTTGGTACACGTGCAAACAAGGATAATTAATGACACACACCTAAACTGAATGACAAGTAATCTGAAACCATGACAACAAACTCCACCATGGAAACAGTGCAAACTGAAAACAAAGTCCAGTGGGCAAGATAGACTGCACACAATATTATAAATAGTAATATCGATATAAAAAAGCACTTTTAAAACAAGGTAACATTGGAATTTTTTTCTATTATACTGTATTTATAGGCCCACATACAGTATGAACAGTATAAATAATTATCATCTCACACATTGTTAATCTGCATTCAGACAGGGTTTTTTTTTTCGCAACAGGACATTTTCTATGCATAATGTGTTTGTTTCTATAATAAAAACATATATGATATATCTTATACCTTTCAAGCAATATGGAAGCAAAATGACCAAACATAAAACATGAACTTCACAGCCATGTTATCTTTGCAAGCACAGACTGTTAGTTTAATCAGTCTTTCTTTTTATTATATAATTAGCATCAAACAAACAATATAGTTCTTATTCACAGTGATTAAATATTATTAAAATAAAATATTGAAAAATGAAATACAACCACCAAATAGGTGGCGATATATTTACCAAGTATCGCAATTAAACAAAAGAAGAAGAAAGTAGGCGCGCTTTTTCTTATCATCCGTTTCCATGGTGACTCGTCGATTCGTAGAGAATTCTTGTCACATTCTCTGGTCTTGTGTTGTGACTTGTGAGTTAACCGTGAACATACTCTAGGTTGGCTGATGTTACTCCTTTTCGAGTATTATACCTCGAGTAAGCAAGGTTTGGTTTAATTTACTGAACCAAGAGTTCAGTGTATGTTTGACGGCATAACCTAGCTTTCTTCAGCGGCAGCGCAAATGCAGATTTGAATGTTCGCTGTGATTGTAGCCTATAAAGTTAGCTATTAGCTTAACGTTACTTGTCGAATGTTTAGTCGTTAAAGTAAGATCGTGTGTTTGTTTAAATCGATCGCGATCTTTTAATTATTAATCGTGCTGCTGCTGTACAATATGTGTCTCAGTCTCTTTTCAGGCTAGACATCATTATTACAAAGAGTTTACATTAATTCCGATTAAACCTGGGTAATTTCAGATAGGCTACGTAAGCGCAGTTCAAATTTTCAGTTACACAGAAGCCCCGCCCACAGAGTGACGATGGCTAGTGACGCTGAGCCTGCATTGGAATGCATTATAGAACGTGACGTCACAATCGCGTACCGGTCAATTAAAGCACACTTTTGCACATTCTCTTCATTACTTTGCTGACAATTTTCTACTGGCATTTATTGCAGCGTAGTTATTTAGCATTTGAAAATGGGATCAAACTTTTCTTGTGTTAAATGTGTAGATGTGTCTGACAGTGTGGACAATTTACACAAAAAAGAGAAAGGCAAGAGGAAGGCAAAAACCAATAAGACCAGCTCAAGTCAAGGTAAGAAAGAGGACCAGACATGTCAATGTTATTGGTATATGTAGAATATGTAAAGTTCTGTTTTTAAAGTCTAATAATAATAATGCTTAACCATTAATTGAAAACTTTTACTAGAGTTCAGTAACATAATATACTTGACATATAATGGAAACTACACACCTTTGATGACAGATGCGTGAATGCCTTTAAACACAGACATTCAAATGTATTACCTCCATATTACCTCAAATTTTATTTAAGGTGAAATTGCTCAAGAATTATAATTATGCCGCATGACGTTTGCCCAGTAGGCCAAATTCATTGTCTGAAAATGAAGATGTTGTGCTAATCAGATGGCAAATTATTGAATTCTACATTTGCATATCTTAAACTGAGAACAGAACATTACTGCCTGTGCTCACTGACCGACAACTGAGAAAGCGGAATGCACGAATTAGACCTGTGTGACCTTGCTTCATAATTTACAGCAAGCTTAGTTGCAGCAATATTAGTGTCTAGTAATGACTATGGTTATGCAATCTTTTATTAATAGTATTTCATTCAAACCATCTTTTGGTTATATCATTTCCCTCTTTAGATCAGACTTCTCAGCATGTCACCAGTACCAGTGAGGCTGAAGTCCTCAGCGTTGCAGAGGAACCTGGTCATGCTGAAGTCGATGACGAGTGGAGTGACGACGCCTTCCAGGACTTAGTCGGAGATTCGTCGGAATGGGGTGCCAACGTCCTCAACTCTTTGAGCTGTGTCTTGAGTGTTGACGTCCTCCAAGCTACAGTCTGTGCCACATCTGACTATAGAGTTCCAGTCCGAGATGTGGCCTACTATAGAGCCAATGTCCCTCGAGTTCCAGTCCGAGATGTGGCCTACTATAGAGCCAACGTCCCTCGAGTTCCAGTCCAAGATGTGGCAGACTGCAGTGTGGACGTCCCCCAAGTCCCAGTCAGCACCACATCAGCTCCAGGCTGGGATATGGCTGACTGTTGTGTTGATGTCCCTCGAGTTCCAGTCCGAGATGTGGCAGACTGCAGTGTGGACGTCCCCCAAGTCCCAGTCAGCACCACATCAGCTCCAGGCTTGGATATGGCTGACTGTTGTGTTGATGCCCCTCCAGTTACAGTCTGTGCCACATCAGACTGTAGTGTTAACGTCCCCCATCTCAGACCGACAGGGGACACTGTATCATCTCAGTTGAAGCAACTGGAGGATAATGAGATTATTAGTAAGTTGACTGTCATGACTCCGACATAACACAATACAGACAAACTTGTGTTGTGATATTATATCTGTCTTTACTCATGTCAACTCAGGCACAAAGCAGTTTTCATGTCAACTCTTCTTATTTTTCTTTTAACAGATGTCGGTTTCTGCAGCTATGAAATCGGCAGGATGCTCAGTGAAGGAGGCTTTGGAAGCGTTTATGCTGGGATTCGCTTAAAAGATGGCCTTGAGGTATCACTTATTTAACTTACAATATATATATTTTTAATTGCCCTGTTTTACACTTGTCTCACTCTCCTTAGTGTAAATTATGTTCACAACTTAGGGCAAACCTGTTTAAATTGTTAGACATGCTCTACATGATTAGAATTTAAATTCATGAAACTGAACATGTCTGTTCAAGGTTAATGACTGAAATGAAATGAACTCACATTGTAAATAATTCTAACACAATTCCATTTTTTGTTTTGTTGATTAGGTGGCGCTGAAATTCGCTGATAACGTGGGTATAGATTGGATCGACATTGTAAGTACTCTGTTTCTCTCAGTCAATTTTTCAATAAGTGCTATTGTCAGTAGTTTAGTAGTGTTCTACATCTTTTCTCCATGTAAGATCATAAGAATTGTCTTTCTTTTAGGAGGGTTATCCTGAACCCGTTCCACAGGAGATTGGTCTGCTAATTCTCGCCAACAAAGGCCACAGGGTTCCCCAGATCATTCAGCTTCTGGACTGGGACAAAGAGCCAGAACGATACATTATGGTTCTAGAGTGGCCTACACCCTGTGAGAACTTGATCGAATTTCTAGACCGCCACAACGGCATCATCGAAGAGGACATGGCAAATGTTATTATGCTTCAGGCAACACTCGCAGCTCAAACATGCTGCCAACGTGGAGTGTTGCACCGCGACATAAAGCTGGAAAACCTGCTGATCAACCCGCACACCCTGGATGTCAAATTGATTGACTTTGGGTGCGGCGAAATCCTGACCAATGCGGGATACACGTCCTTTGCTGGTATGTATTATTCCTCAGAGCTGTAATGTGGGTCTCAAACTTTGATGACGAGTTTGAGACCGTTCAACTTGAATGAGTCAAGGTCTTACAAAGCATCATGTAATGGAATCCACAATTGTGAATCAATAGCATCAAATAATTTCTTGCATGCTATGAATACCTAGTCAAAATGTTGCTTTAATACAAGCTTATAAATCATACATAATCTCTTTCTTCTAGGCACAAAATCGTACTGCCCCCCTGAGTATGATTTAAACGGCGAGTATTACGGGGAACCAGCGACAGTTTGGTCACTCGGGATACTCTTGTTTGCACTGCTGTATGTGAAATATCCAGAGTCAGAAGACTTGAACGACCTCAATGATAACATCTGGGCCAAAGATGGCTTGTCGCAAGGTGAGATCTTCATTTCAGCAAAGGACACTTGTAATTATTAATCATACAAAATAGAACAAAGTAATAAGATTGGTCGTGTGGGTAATGCAGTAATATTTAGATCTTTCAGCTTAGACTCTTAATCAAAGAGAGCGAGTGTGAAGTTTAAGGTAATAATAGGACTTCTCTTCTATTTCTTCACAGAATGCTGCGAATTACTTTGCTCTCTCCTGCAAAGAAACCCAGAGAAGCGACTTAAATTGGACAAAGTCTGTCTCCACAACTGGTTTAAGTATTTTAATTGTCAGCCTGAGGATAATGAGATTATTGGTAAGTTTACTGTCATGACTCCGACATAACACAAGACAAACACACGTTTTATACAATATCTACCTTTACTCAGGCACAAAGCAGTTTTCATGTCAACTCTTCTTATTTTTCTTTTAACAGATGTCGGTTTCTGCAGCTATGAAATTGGCAGGAAGCTCGGTGAAGGAGGCTTTGGAAGCGTTTATGCAGGGATTCGCTTGAAAGATGGCCTTGAGGTATCACTTACTTGCATTATCTATCAAAGTATTCCTGCACTATCTTATACTCGAATAACTCTTCTTTTCAAGCATTCTCAGTGTATCTTATGTTCATTACTTAGAGCACCTGACCTCTCAGACCTGTTTAAATTGTTAGACATGCTCTACATGATTAGAATTTAAATTCATGAAACTGAACATGTCTGTTCAAGGTTAATGACTGAAATGATATGAACTCACATTGTAAATAATTCTAACACAAATCCATTTTTTGTTTTGTTGATTAGGTGGCGCTGAAATTAGCTGACAACGTGGGTATAGATTGGATCGACATTGTAAGTACTCTGTTTCTCTCTGTCAATTTTTCAATAGACAAACTGCTATTGTCAGTAGTTTAGTAGTGTTCTACATCTTTTCTCCATGTAAGATCATAAGAATTGTCTTTCTTTTAGGAGGATAATCCTGAACCCGTTCCACAGGAGATCGGTCTGCTAATTCTCGCCAACAAAGGCCCCAGGGTTCCCCAGATCATTCAGCTTCTGGACTGGGACAAAGAGCCAGAGCGATACATTATGGTTCTAGAGTGGCCTACACCCTGTGAGAACTTGATCGAATTTCTATACCGCCACAACGGCATCATCGAAGAGAACATAGCAAAGGTTATTATGCATCAGGCAACACTCGCAGCTCAAACATGCTGCCAACGTGGAGTGTTCCACCGCGACATAAAGCTGGAAAACCTGCTGATCAACCCGCACACCCTGGATGTCAAATTGATTGACTTTGGGTGCGGCGAAATCCTGACCGATGCGGGATACACGTCCTTTGCTGGTATGTATTATTCCTCAGAGCTGTAATGTGGGTCTCAAACTTTGATGACGGGTCAGAAGCCGTTCGACTTGAATGAGTCAAGGTCTTACAAAGCATCATGTAATGGGATCCACCATTGTGTATCAATAGCATCAAATAATTTCTTGCATGCTAATGAATACTTAGTCAAAATGTTTCTTTAATACAAACTTACAAATCGGACTAAATCTCTTTTTTCCAGGCACAAAACCGTACTGCCCCCCTGAGTATGATTTAAATGGCGAGTATCACGGGGAACCAGCGACAGTTTGGTCACTCGGGATACTCATGTTTGCACTGCTGTGTGGACAATTTCCAGAGTCAGAAGACTTGGACGAGCTAAATGATAACATCTGGGCCAAAGATGGCTTGTCACAAAGTAAGATCTTCATTTCAGCAAAGGACACTTACAATTCTAAATCATACAAAATAGAACAAAGTAATACAAATGGTAGTGTGGGTAATGCAGTAATATTTAGATCTTTCAGCTTAGACTCTGTCTTAATCAAAGAGAGTGTGAAGTTTAAGGTAATAATAGGACTTCTCTTCTCTTTCTTCACAGAATGCTGCGAATTACTTTGCGCTCTCCTGCAAAGAAACCCAGAGAAGCGGCTTGAATTGGACATTGTCTGTCTCCACAACTGGTTTAAGTACTTTATTTATTCATTTAATTAAGCAAAAATCAGCACCCAATGACCGGACGGGCCGGCCCAGCTCCAGAACTCCCTGTCCCCACACACCAATGCACACCCTGCATTGATGTGCAGGCACTATCCAGGCAAACACGACCTGTATATGCCCAAGAAGACCCTCTGGAAAAAGGATGGCTTGTCACAAGGTTAGATCTTCAATTCCACAAAGATTACTTGTAATCAGGGTTCTAAATTAACACCCGCCAACCCGCAAAATTAATAAATACTAATAATTAATAAAAACTTACTAGCCAGTTTAGCCAGTGATGCATAAGGCTCTGTTTTCGGTCTTTTATCCCTCTGGCAGTACTTCCTACATTTCCCATGAACACTGTGCCGTAATGCTACGTGATGACGTTTCATACGGCCATTGGCTGCGCGCAGTTTGGAGTGAAACCAGCGCGAGAAATGATCATGGAAACGTGTAGCGGTGGTAGCCGCCCTAATACAAATAAATGACTTTAAAGAAAATTTCGGGCGCCAGACAGGATAAAACCTGTCAAAATTTAAATAAACCCAGGATAGGCAAAAAATAACCACCTGTTACACAACAAAATTATAGTAATAATCCAAAAAGAAAAATAATTTCACAAAGGATATTTATTCCTAATAATACTAATAAGTTCCACACTAGTGGTAGTAGATCTCATCTCTGACTTTTTGAAATCCGTGCAGAACCTCGCGCGTCACTAATCCACGTTGGCAGATTCGTGTCCACATTCATTCACAAATTGTTCATAAGAAAGCAAAAGAGAGAAAAAAGTAAACAACTCATTCATTTCGTTGTAAATCACCAACAGCAAACAATCATTTTAACAGGCAACAACAATTTATGAAAAACAAACTAAGCACACTGAATGTGCAAAAGTGAAATGCGAGTGGGTGTGTGCGTGTGTAGTAATGTGTGTATGGCGGCGCAGAGGTACTGACCACATTTGCAGGCAAGAAACCGTTTTAGTGAGTATCGATAGTGATGTTACGTCTGACACCGACGCTCCGAAGCTTGCTTCAAACTCGAACGGTCCTTGCAATGAACCACTGCTTCGGAGCTTGTATCATTACGTCATTAGTCACGTGAAAATGACGTCTGAAGCAAACACACTGCTTCACTCCTGTAGTGAACCACCTGAATGCTTTGACAGCCCAATCCAGTGTTGACAGGTTTGAAACCTGGCGGCTGTATTTCTTATAAAAGTGAAGCCAAACCATGGCAACACCGTGGGTTGTAGTAGTCGGTGTTTGGATTGGTGTTATTGTTGAGGAGAGTGGATTGAGTTTATTGTTGAGGAGAGTTTATTGTTGAGGAGAGTGGATTGAGTTTGTTGAGGAGAGTTTATTGTTGAGGAGAGTGGCAAAGAAATAATTACACACACCATGCTTAATGTTTTATTATCAAGGTGAACACATGAAATTCATCAGTGTCTGGAAACTTCACCTACATAAATGAGTTTCACAGCACTACACTGTTTCAGCTTTGATCCCCGATCGCCTCGGTAAACACGTCATAAACGGGGCGTTAACATAAGCCTACTGACATTTTATGGTTGTCAGCTTTGTTGCATTACATTTACTTCACCAGGAGATGGTGCTGCAATTTCTATCTGAATGAAGCTTCGAGTAATGAACCATTTTCGACACAATTGTATCGGAAAGCAATAATGCTTCGAAACGCTTCATTTGGCCATCACTAAGTATCGAGTGTCCTCTTCGACACTAGGATAGGCGGATAAAACAGCTTTGGCTTGTCTTTAAAACAGCTCCATAATAGTTTGTCTGGGAATGCAACGACTCGCGACGCACCAGACTTCAACCACAGGAAACAACAGATCGACAAGCGGCCGTCTCTCCCCAACAATCCATCACGATTTCACTACAAACTTCTCAATGCTCAAACGGGTGACGCCCTTTCCCAGGTACGACACACTTCCTTATATTCAATTTCCTTCCGTGATTAACGTTGATTGACATACTCCACCCATTTGCGCAAACAATTATGTGACTCGTGGCACAGATTCTCTTCATTGCCACAAACCACGAACTGAGCGTCCGTCCACCAGAAAACACAAGGAAGATGAAGAACGAACGGAGCCAGAGCATAGACTGAAAGAGAGAGCTAGTAAATTACCTAAAGTAAAAAGTTAAGATTAAACTAAATGCAGCGGTGGTTGGGACAGACTTCTGGGTTTAAATTTAAATGTCGTTTAACGAGAGATACGTTGTTATTTTTTTTTAAGTTTAAGGTTTTTGTCATTATTTCTGAACAAGCTTATACATTAGGCAGTATACAGAACAAGCTTACTATATATCTTAAGGTTTTCTTTTAGTTGAAAACATTAAACAATATGTGTAAACAAAAAAATATAAACAACAAAAGCATTTAACCTCAAGCAGCGCAAACGGGGAAAAAAACGAAGCAGACTGCGCAGTTATCGTACAGAACGTACATACTCGAGTCAGCATATGATTATCGTGTTTATATTGTTTCACGTTCATGTTGAGAAAAACAATAATATCCACATGGTCGAGTGAGAAAACGCGATGCGCTGACACAGACGTTGCAGAGACGCGTGTGTGTGTGCAAAGTGAAGTAACAGCACTTTGCGTTTTCTGTTCTTAAACCTGTATCCCTCAACGAAACTTAAAGGAAGCACGACATTATGTGGTTAAAACTTAAAGGAAGCACGACATTTAACAAGTGGATCAAATACAATCCACTTGTTAAATGCTCCACGAATATTCGAATAGTATTTTATTTTTTGAATAATAATTACAGATAGAAAATTAATATTCGTGCACATCCCTAATAGATAGATAGATAGATCCCAAACTTGAAATGAAATGTTTGCACTTTCTGTGTTGTATTGTACTTTATATGTGTTTTTCATGCCAATAATGTTAATAAAATGATCAAATGCATTCAGTGGCACTCAAAATTTATCTTATTTTCACCGGAAAAAATTTGGCTTGTGGAAATTCTAAATGGCTGGTAAAATTAGAAAGAGATAAAAAAAGTTTATTTAGAACCCTGCTTGTAATTCTGTATCATAAAAAACAGAACAAACAAACAGTGCACATTGTATCCTTCCACAGACTGACAGACTCGTGACAAGGCATCGGGACCTAGGTTGAGACATCCTTTCCTGTGATGTACTTGGAAGTTGAACTGCTGCAACCTAACATTCCACCGGGTCAATAGGCTTTATGCCCAGCTGCTCTACTTCCTGAACTTCAGCCAGCTCCTTGTTTCCTGTCTGACATTATTGGACAAACTGATTAACCCAGGTGTGTCTGGTATTTGTTACTGGTCAGGCACACCTGGATTAATCAGTTTGTCCAATAATGTCAGACAGGAAACAAGGAGCTGGCTGAAGTTCAGGAAGTAGTGCAGCTGTGCATAAAGCCTATTGAGAGGAGGTTTTGGGACTATTGAAGGCCCATGTTAGAGCAGCATGGTCGCTGTAGATATCAAACTGCCTCCCATCAAGGTAATTTCTCTATTTTTCCACCACCCAGACCACAGCCAGACACTCTTTTTCTGATGTGGAGTAATTTAGTTCTGCTCCTCGTAATGTCCTTGAAGCATATGCTATTACTCTTTCCCCCTCAGGTGTTTGCTGGGTGAGAATAGTTCCCAGTCCCATGTCACTGGCATCAGTATGCACCTGAAAAGGTTGGTTGAGGCCTCTGGTAGGTGGCTGCGGCATTTCTGAGCCGGCATGGAACGGAATTGGAATAGCCCCTGGTTGGTGATAAATGTGGTTTTCTCTTTTCTCTCTTCCTCCATATCCACCTGCCAGTATCCTGACTACAAATCCAATGTGCTGAATCAGGTGGCGCCATCCATGGATTCCAGGATGTCATGAATAAGCTGCATTGGATAAGCTTCAGGTATGGTCTTGGTGTTAAGCCTCCTATAGTCCACACAGAACCTGGGGACGAGGACTACGGGTGATGACCATGGAGAGAAGGATGGCTCAATGATGCTGTCACTTGTCACTGTCTACTAGTAGGGGGGTGAAGTGACTTTTGACTTCAAGTCATGATGCAAAGGTCCCCTTTGGTATGGAAGTACCTTAGGGCCATAGAAATAAATTTATCCTAAGACACAAGTGAGATCACATTTTGTATCTTATATACGCACATTTTTTAAAAAATGGCTGCCGACCATGCTTGAGAGGCCCACATCTTTGCTTCTGTTACAGCTATAATGACAAATTTGGCATCAACGTTTACATTTTTGTGGTCAAGGAGTCCAATAAAATAGGTTCCAAGACTAAAAAAACAATGTTGTCCTTACCATGACAATTGGAGGTGAAGTATGCAATTTTTTATTAAAAAACGCATGCCAAACACAGTCCATTCACAACTTAAAGGGATACTTCACCTCTGGGAAGATGAATGTGTATTTAATATTGGTCATTTATATAGTAGAAATGTGAAATTGTTTTTGAAATTGAAGCCTGAGAAAAGGCAGAAAATGTATTTTTTACTCATGTGGCTGAAAGACAACAACTCCCAGAATGGACTTGCTTTGCTGCCCTTACGAGGCCACTTCCAAACCACGCCTACCGGTTACAGGCGGCAGAATCCGAAAAATGGATACAACTAGGCTTGCTTTGATACATCGTGAGTTATTTGATAAATTTCCATCGAAATGTTGCTAAATTGCATTGTACCGGGATGTACTAGCCTAATGTATATAACACAACTTAGACTTTCACATTAAAAATATGATGCAAGGCAGGACCATGTCAACAGAGTAGCTTAGTAGCTCTGCATATGAACTGTTTTCCTCCAATTGAAATCACTATTTCTCTAAGCTAATACATTATCTAGGCTAATCCATATTCTAGTAACACTAAAGGTTTACAAAAAGAACCACAACCAATGTGAGTTATAACTTTTCATTAAAAAAATAATTAATATTAACACTTTTACACTCAAAGCTCTGCAGATTCAGCGATCTCGTCCAGAAGAAAATGGCATCGCTGAGATTCGCGACAGCAATAGGACTCTATATCTGTTTCCATAGGCGCACAGCGAGAGCACTGACACCGCCAGTCCGCACCAGCTCGAGTCTGGCCGGGCTCAGGTCTCGCTCCGGCCGCCTCTTGTTC